CGGACTCAACGTAAATAACTAGATATGAAGACTAACAAAGAATACGCAACTATTACGACTTAAAGTCAATATTTATGAGAATAACAGTGACACAAACAAGTATTGGTAAGGAGAAGAAACTTGAGGCGAAGAGGAATCAGTGATCCTTTCGGACAAATGAACACAAACAACAACAATTGAGTAGCTAAACAAATTCCTTCACTAACCCATAGTTGACACTAAGTCGAAAACAATAAGAGAAATAAAATAGATTTCTATTAAGGAAACAACCAACACACTAAAGAAATAGAAAGGTTGAGCTGAAAATGAGCTTTACCTTTCACGGGGCAGCGAAGCAGGGACGGGACGAGCAGGAAGCCGACTTCACAACAAAAACTCGAATGCGACCCGCAACCAAAAATTTGGACAGGATGTCGGACTCAAAACTGAAACTAATTGTCTCTTCCGTTTTTCTTGAGGCGTTCTTAATATATATATATATATATGTATATTTTTTCTATCCTTGATTAAGCTATGCTGGGTAGTTTTCTCAAAACTCCAACTAAAAAAATATTTCTTTTCAAGATTTCCCCTCCCCCCTCCCTCACAGTGAATAAGCATCATATACAGATGGGAAGATTAGGGTTCGGAAAAAAAAGAGGGAAAAAGGATGAAAATTTGGGTTCAAGGCCCATCCCCAAATTCAAACTCGAATCCTTTCATCATTCAAGCTAAACATTTTTTTTTGAAATTTCATCTCATTCCGGAAGAGGAAATGGAGCAGACGCGTGCTTGCTCTTCTCTGCTCAGGTTGTACGACGGAGAGGGACGTGAGGAGGACGGACACGCGTAAAGTTACTAGATCGATTTGATGGGCTGCTGCATCGCGGTGGGCTGTTGTTATTCATTTCTGGGCTGCTGCCCGTTTCTGTGATTTAGAAGAAGAAAAACGGTGCAAATGGGGTCGGTTTGTTGTATGTTGTTGTTAATATATTATTTTAGTATTGTTGTACGTTATTGTATGCATATATGGGCTGGGAAATCTGGGAATGTTTTGGTGGAGGAATGGGTTGGAATGGTTGGTGGGCTGAAAATTGTTGTTGTATTCTGATGGGCTGGGAATTGAAGTTTGAGAAAAGCCCAATATTGGTCTTGCAAATTGAGTTAGGGTGAGGAAATAAATGGCTAAATTTGCAACAAAAGGATTAGACAAATGAGTTAACAATCTAACCAAATTGAATTCTTTTAGTTAATTCGGTTAGTAATTAGAAAAGACGAATTAATATAATTAACTAACGAGCTTCTTAATCTCAACAAAATAAAATAATTAACTCAATTGTTATATAATTGATTCGAAAGTATAAATTAATATTAAGTGAGCTAATTAATAAAGCACTAAAAAACGTAACATCTTGTTGAAATGATTTTTTTTTAATGTTCGTAAAAAATGTAATAATTACATAAAAAAATACACACATTGTTTTAAAACTATATATAAAAAAAAGACTAAAATTGCTTCAGAACTAAAAGAAAATATATTTTGAATATTTGTAAAACTAATTATCCAAAATCATTGGAAATTAAGAAGCTCGAAAGTTAATTCTTATCTGGGAGGGTCAAAATTGGGTGTCAACAACTGTCCCTCATTTTACTTTGATTGATGCAAGAAATTCGAGGAAAATGAAATTGACTAATCCAATTTTGACCGACCACATCTTCACCTTAGTAAAGGGCTTTTGGTACGGACTTTAGGAATTATGGCCGAACCCCGAAAATGGGTTTCTTACATATCTCAGACTATAAGAGAATTCAGGGTAATTATAGTTCGATACGCTTGATTTGACGCACGATTTTGAAAGAAATCAAAAACTATCCCGACACAGAATTATGAAGGGACCGAAATGCTCAAGAGTAAGATTTACAAGAGAATGTTGGAGTACAATCGAGTTTTCAACATTAATCCCGCCTACATATCCTTAAACATTAGGAATCAGGCTACTTGTAGTTCGACTCTATCGGTTGAAAATGAAATCTATTATGTGAGTTAACCTTTGGTTCTGGAAAATGACGAAGTAAGTCGAGTATGAAAAAAAGGCTTGCAACCTCTTAGTCATGAATGTGGTGCACTTCACACCCATAATTAAGAACTTACACGGACATAATTTCCAAAGCTCTTGGTACATCGTCACTCAGATTGGAAAGCTGCTTCCGGTAGAGACCAAAAATTTCTGAATGCGAAATTGAAACCGACGAACCTATAGATAAACCCGCATGCCTTCTGATAGGGGTGTGGTTTGATTGTGGTGGAAGTCATTCTTCTGCTCGCGTCCTAAGAGTTTGTCACTCATCTTTGGACTATGTCCCAGTTCGCTGCTAAGAAAAAAATTCCACGTTGTACTGCATCCCAATTATGTCGTCCGCACCTGTGGTTTGTTTTGAGAATTCATCCTCTTGGATGCTCTCGACAAAGACTGAGATAAAACTCATTAGCATAAAAATGCAATTCAAATGGAGGGATAATGTCTTTTACCATGTTGACAATTAATTGCTCTCCTTGAACGTTTGGCGTGAACTCCATCGGGTTCGACGCAAAGCAAATAAAGCTAGTGTTTCATATTTGCAATATAATCTTCAATGTACTCTTCCTTTGATTAATAAAATAGGCTGATGTAACATGTTACCAGTTCTCTTAACGTCGTTGTTGATAATTCTCTAGATGCCATTTTGTAAAGAAAAAATGATGCAATCGATGTTGATCTTCTTTTGATGGGTAAATCTTTCTTTTGCAATGCATAACTTTTTTTCCGCGATGCATGAATCCTTCTCTTGCTATGCATGAATCTCTTTCCCGCAATGCATGACGTTTTCTCTTGCTATGCAAGGTTTCTTCTTCTTACTATGCATAAATCTTTTTCCCGCGAAGCATGACTTCTTTATCTTGCAATGCATGACTTTTTTCCGCGATGCATGAATCCTTTATCTTGCAATGCATGACTTTTTTTCGCGATGCATGAATCATTTTCTTGCTAAGCATAAATCTCTTTGCCGCGATGCATGACTTTTTTTCGCAATGCATGAATCCTTCTCTTGTTATGCATGAATCTCTAACCCACGATGCATGACTTTTCTCTTGCTATGCATGATTTCTTCTTCTTGCTATGCATAAATCTCTTTCCCGCGGTTCATGAATTCTTTTCCGTGATGCGTGAATCATTTCTCTTGTAATGCATGACTTCTCTCTTTCGCTATACATGACTTCTTTCTCTTGCAATGCATGAATCTCTTTCCCGCGATGCATGACTTCTCTCTTGCTATGCATGATTTCTTCTTCTTGCTATGCATAAATCTCTTTCCCGCGGTGCATGACTTCTTTTCCGCGATGCGTGAATCCTTTCTCTTGCAATGCATGACTTCTTTCTCTCGCTATGCATGACTTCTTTCTTTTGCAATGCATGAATCTCTTTCCCGCGATGCATGACTTCTCTTTCTCGCGATACATTACCTCCTTTTCTTGCGATGCATGATCGTGTTTTCCAATGCATGAACCTCTTCCTGTGATGCATTAATCTTCTCTTGAGATGCGTGATCGTCTTTTCTGATGATGTCATCCCTGGTCCGAACAAAGATAATGTTTCACCGGACAACATAAGTGATCTTCTGGGTATCTCCTGGGTGGCGGTATCGCCTCAATTAGCGATACGATAAAAATTGACCCTCAGAGTAATGGTATCATCTCATTCGACAATACGACACAAATGACTCTTTGGGTAGTAATATTATCATGTTCGATAATATGATGCATATAATGTCTTCTAAGCATTTTTAGTTGATGGAAAACAACAAAAATGTCTTTCTTCGGGGTTTTCATTTGTTCCATCCCTGAACCTAATTGCAAGTTCATTATGGACCTCTCTTTGTTGAGAATTGAATGAAATAATGCTACTCATATTCCCAAATCTTTGATATAAGAAACATAAAATATTTCCTGCATCCACAGAAAAATTGTCAATTTTGGGGAGCTTTTCACCCTTTGACTTCTCCACATTCATTGAATGGGAGAATATGATGATTTTGAGGCAACCTATAGACCTGCATCCATAGAAAACTTGTTAGTTTAAAACTGAACTGATTTGTGTCGATCTCCTCGGTTGTCTACTCCTTGTCTAACTATCTCCGGTTGATTTCTCTTATCTCCCGCTTCTTGATAGATAAGCCAAAACATTTTTATGCAAAAAATAATTGACACATGAAGGAGAAGTTTTTAAGAAAATAGATTTCAAAAATATTTGGAAAAGGTGACTGTCAAGTGACATGTCACATCAAATTCAATGAACGCCATTTGGAGTTGATGTTTCGAGATCTATCTGATTACTTGTTGGGAAGTATTCAAAGTTGCTCTAAATTGCCGATAAACCTTGTTGAAATTTTGAGGCCATCCTCAAAATTTCTGTCCCAGTTAACTGTCTCGGCTTATCTTTAACCGTTGGTGAGCAAATTACGGAATTTTTGAGATCCTCTCAAAAAAATTGTCGCAGTTGCAATTCTCAATGTGACTTCAGTCTCGACTTTGTTGGAGAGATCTTCTTCTTGAGAATTTTTGAGTCCCTCTCAAAAAATTTGTTCCAGTTTCTATTGTAAAGGAAATAGAAATCTTACAGGGAATATGATCGAGCCCTGGTGGCGCCTAAGTATCCCGTTGAGGCAAGAATCAGGCCAAACGTAGTTCTCCCTCTCGGGGATTAACAGAAATAGGAAAATACAAAGAAACCGACCGAGGCCGACATAGGCCACCTACGTATCTCATTCTTGAGAATTCAGGTCGAACGTAGTTCAAATACAAGGGAAAATATTAAAAGGGGGATAAAGGGGAGACCGAGGCCGACATAAGCCACCTACATATCACATTCTTGAGAATTCAGGTCAAACGTAGTTCATTACAAAGGGGATACAATTTTTAAATGAAGCGATTACAAGCAAATAGAACGATAACAAGGAAATGACAAAAAGTATGAACTGAAACTTTACACAGAATATCTCTTGACAGCATCTGAGTTGATCGGTTTCGTCCATTCGGTGCCATCCATCTCCGAAAGGACCAAGGCACCTCCGGATAATACTTTACGAACCATGTAGGGTCCTTGCCAATTTGGTGCAAATTTCCCTTTGTACTCATCCTGATGAGGGAAAATGTGTTTAAGGACCTGCTGGCCGATTTCAAATATCCTGTCTTTTACTTTTATGTGGAAAGCACGAATCATTCTCTATCCATATAGTTGTCCATGACAAACAACAACCATTCTCTTCTCATCAATCAATGTTAACTAATCAATCCGCTTGCGAACCCATTCAACATCACTCAATTCAGCTTCTTGGATGATTCCGAATGACCGTATTTCAACTTCTGCAGGTATAACTGCTTCTGTTCCATATACTAGCAAATATAGAGTAGCTCCAACTGATGTTCTGACAGTTGTTCGGTAACCCAACAAAGCATATGGAAACATCTCGTGCCAACCTCTGCGATTATCAATCATTTCCTCAAAATCTTCTTTATGTTCTTGTTGGTAGCTTCTACGGCTCCATTCATTTGGGGACGATAGGCGGTTGAGTTCCGGTGAGTAATCTTGAATTGTTCACATATCTCTCTTATCAAATGACTGTTGAGATTCGCTCCATTATCAGTAATGATAGATTCCGGTACTCCAAACCTACATATCAAATTGTTGCGACCAAAATCAACTACAACTTTCTAGGTCACCGACTTGTACGAAATTGCTTCCACCCACTTGGTGAAGTAGTCAATGGCAACCAAAATGCATTTGTGTCCGTTAGAGGCGGCTGGCTCTATTGGACGAATGACATCCATGCCCCAAACTACAAATGGCCAAGGTGAACTCATAGCATTAAGTTCATGAGGCGGCACTCGAATCAAATCACCATGCACCTGACATTTATGACATTTCTGCACAAACTTGCAACAATCGTGTTCCATAGTCATCCAAAAATAACCGGCTCGAAGGATCTTCCTTGCCAAAGAGAGCCCATTCATGTGAGTACCACAAACTCCGGCATTATTTGTCCCAGAAGCTTTGCAGCTTCACTAGCATCAACACATCTGAGAAGACCTAGATCTGGAGTCCTCCTATAAAGGATTTCCCCACTTGCAAAGAAATTGAGGGCCATACGGCGTATTGACTTCTTCTGATTGAACTTTGTGTTCTCATGATAAATTCCGGTCTGTAAGTATTTCTTGATGTCAAAATATCAAGGCAAACCATCTAGTTCTGCTTCAACATGTGAACAATGGACAGGTTGCACTTTTACTTCTATGTCCACTGGATCAATATAACTTGTATCTGGATGTTTAATCATTGATGCGATGGTGGGAAGAGGCCAACTCACTTTGTGTCCTGGGAGTGTGCCTGAATTCAATCTTGCAAAATCTCTTGCACAACTTCTGTATATACTGCACGTATGGTGTGATCTTTGGGTTCTTTATGGCCCATTCTCCTTGAACCTGATGAATCAGCAAATCTGAATCTCCAATAACCAGAAACTCGTGAACATTCATATCAATTGCCATCTTCAAACCAAAGATACAAGCTTCGTACTCTGCCATGTTGTTCGTGCAATCAAATCGGAGTTCAGCTGCCATAGGATAGTGTTGACCGGATTTTGATACTAAGACCGCTCAGATATCTTTCCCTTGGTGATTCGCCGCTCCATCAAAGAATACTCTCCAACTAGGGTAGGCTTCAGAAATATCTCCACCCACAAATGAAACTTCCTCGTCGGGAAAATAAGTCTTGAGCGGCTCATACTCCTCATCAACTGGATTCTCCGCAAGATGATTAGCTAAGGCTTGTGCTGTTATTGCCTTTTGAGTCACATACACAATGTCAAACTCACTCAAAAGTATTTACCATTTGGCCAACTTCCCGGTCGGCATTTCTTTCTCGAAAATATACTTCAACGGGTCCATCCTGGAAATAAGGTATGTGGTATAAGAAGACAAATAATGTCTTTAACTTTTGAGCGATCCAAGTCAAAGCACAGCATGTTCTCTCCAAAAGAGTGTAACGAGCCTCATATGGAGTGAACTTTTTGCTCAAGTAATAAATGGCTCGCTCCTTCTTTCCTGTTTCATTATGTTGACCAAGCATGCATCCCAATGCATTATCTGAGACCGACAAAAATAGCAATAACGGATTCCCTTCTCGCGGAGGGACCAACACCGGTGGATTGGACAAATAGTTATTGATGGCATCAAAAGCAGTTTGATATTCTCCGGTCCACTTGGTCGAGACATCTTTTTTCAATAACTTAAAGATGGGCTCACACTCCATGGTGGATTGAGCTATGAACCGGCTAATGTAGTTCAACCTTACCCAAAAAACTCATCACCTCTTTCTTGGTATTTGGAGGAGGTAATTCTTGGATCGCCTTGATCTTGAAAGGGTCATGCTCAATGCCCCTCCTGCTGACTATAAATCCCAACAACTTGCCAGTTGGCACCCCAAAAGCACATTTGGCAGGATTTAACTTCAAATTGTATCGACGCAGACGATCAAAGAATTTTCTCAAGTGAGTCAAGTGATCCGAACTCTCGCGGGACTTGATTATGACATCATCTACATACACCTCGATCTCCTTGTGAATCATGTCGTGAAAGATGGTTGTCATGGCCCTCATATAAGTAGCATTGTCATTTTTTAGACCAAATGGCATCACCCGATAATGATATATACCCCAAGGCATGATGAAAGTTGTCTTTTCTGCATCTTCTTTGTTCATCAGGATCTGGTGGTAACCCACATAACAATCTAGAAATGACTGCATCTCATGCTTAGCGCAATTATCAAT